CTAGATCCTAAATTTGTTGGAATATAAGCTTTCAAAATATTGCAATTCTGTATATGTCAGTTGTGAACATTGTGATTTCACCTTTTGTCATTTCTAATTGCATTCATATCAGTCTCATCTTCCCTTCTTTTGCTAAGTTTGTCTAAGGGTTTATTAATTTTGTTTAATCCGTTCAAGAACCAACTCTTTGAGTCTTTGTAGTTTTTTAGTCTTTATTTCATTAATTTCTGCTTTCATCTATCTTTATAATTTCTTTCCCTCGACAAGTTTTCAATTGGATTGCTCTTGTTTTTCTAGGACTTTGAGATGCATCATTAGGTTATTTACTTGTGATTGCTGTATTTTCTTAATGTGAGCATTCATAGATACAAAGTGTCATAGTAAAAGTGCTTTCATTATGCCCCCATAGATTTTTGTAGGTTATATTTCCACTGTCCCTTGATTCTAGGAACTTTTTAATTTCTTCCCTGATTTTTCTTTTCTGTGACCCATTGGTTACTCACAGGTGTATTATTTAATCGTTTTGTGTTTGTGTAGTTTCTACAGTTTCTTTTGCTATTGATTTCTAGTATCATTCTATTATGATATGATAGGATGCAAGATATTATTTCCATTCTTTTGCATTTAAGCATGACTTATAGCCTAACATATGGTTTATTTTGGAGAAAGTTCTGTGTGTCTTTGAGAAATATATGTATCCTGCTATTGGATGAACAACTGCAGATATCAAGTAAGTGTACTTGTTTAATTATGTGCTTCAACTCTGATATTCTTTGTTGATTTTTTTGGTCTGATTGATCTACTGTGACAGTATGATGTTGAAGTCCCCTACTCTTATTGTATGGGTGTGTATTTGTCCAGTAGTTGTATGAAGTTAGATGTGCCAACATTTGGGACATATATAATAGTTACCACTTCCTACTGAATTGTTCCCTTTATCAATATTTACTTTGTGTGAAAATAGGACAGTGAACCTACTCCTGCTTCTTTTCAAATTCCTTGTGCATGGAGTGTCATTATCCATATTTTCTCTTTCTGTCTGTGTGTTACTTTTTGTATGAGGTGTATATTTTGCACATAACCTATGGTTGGGTTTTTGTTTTCTGATCCAACCTACCAGTCTGTGGATTATGATTGGGAAGTTAAGACCACTGACATTGAGTATTATTATTGAAAGGTATTTTCTAAATCCTCTCATTGCATTATTTTTCCCATGCACATTCCTTTGTTTCCTTTTTGTTTAACCATTCTCCCAGTTAGATGTATTCTTTCCTTTGGAAACTGGGGTGATGTTGATATTGTTGATATTGATATTCCCTTAAGTACTTTCTACAATGCTGATTTGGTGCTCATGGATTCCTATAGGTTCTCTTTATTATGGAAAGTATTTCTCCATCAATTTTGAAGGACAATTTTGCAAGATATAGTAATCTTGGTTGACAATTGTTTCTGTTTTAAGCTTGAAAAACTTTCTTTTGGCCTTTAAGGTCTGTGTTGAGAATCTGCTATTATCATGACAGGCTTACTTTTGTAATATGATTTTCTCTGATGTCTTGTTTTTAGGATATCATTGAGTACATGTTCTACTGCATCAACCTTGTCTTCAAGTTCAACAGTCTCATCTCAGATTGTTCACTCTGTTGTTCATACTTCCAAAGGAATTTTTCATATTCAGGATTTTTTTCTTGAATCCTTTTCATATTCTTTAATTCTTTACAAAAATGATCATTCATGTATCGCATTGTCTTCTTTAATTCAATTTTTGTTTTCACCTTCTTTAAGCTCATTAAGCATTTTATTAATTAGATCATTAGTCTGTTTATTTAAATCCTCTTTAATTTCACTGAACATCTTGAGTATTTGCTTATTAGTTTCTTCTTTGATCTCTCTGACCATTTTAACCATTTGTGTTTGAATTATTTGCTTGAAATTTCCCCCACTTCAAGGCCTGTGAATCAGCTTTTGGGAAGGTAAGACTTTGACATCTTGCTGTCTGGTTTTCTTGTGTTTCTAAGGTTTCGTTGCTGAGGTTTAAAGATCAGTTAGGGTAGAAAACCTCTGTTGCTACTGTGGAAATCTCTCTACTTAGTGTATGTCTCCCTGTGATGTGACCTTGGCTTTGCTTATGTTTGGTCATGCATCTAATCAACCTACTTAACATAATAGATCAGTCTTCATCGCTGTGTTGCAAGGAGAGAACAACTACCAGTTATATCAGCATCTACAGTTTCAAACTTGTGTTAACATTTCACACTTTATTCCAAAACCTAGAAGGATAGTCAAATTGAATTGGTGATAATTAAGCTAGCATGTTGAGGAGGAAGGAAGGAAAAAGGGAAAAAATAGTTCAAAAAGAAAGGAAGGAAAAAAAGAGATAAGAGCGAATGAAAGAAAGAAAAAGATAGGCTTTTGGTGATATTGCTTTTATATCATTAATGGGAGGAGGGGGAAGAAGGTGTGTGAGGGGTTATTTGAGGGTTGGGATAAAGGAAGAAGGCAGGGGGATATAATTGGAAGTTGGAGGAAGCTAGAAGAAAGTTGGAACCAATTAATAGTATAGTAGAAAGCTTGGGTTTGAATCTTCTATACAAAATTTTTGGTGAGGATTAACCTGACATGACTGTGAAAGATACTATCTGAATTAAAGCACTAATTAATCCTTGTTCTCTGTTTCGCATGTACAAATACCAGATGAAAGGAGACAAAAGAAAACACACACCACAAAGACACAAAAGGGTCCTCTCAATCCTATTTATATTTCAGGCTGAATTCAACCAGTGTGCCCTTCCCCTTAGTTCGAAATTGGAGAGACCTTATGTTGTAGAAGTTGTGGGGAACTGCACTCCAAACCTCTGTGGTGGTGGCTAGGAGACTGGTGCTTGACATTGATTTGTTCTCTTGCCTACCAGTGAGCGAAGGGGGTTGGCGTTCGGGGCAGGCACTGAGCCCACTTCTCGTTGTCACTGCCCGTAGAACTCTGTTAGGTTTCAGCTGCACTCCTACTGGTATGACCAGCCAGGTATTTCCCTCTGTCTTATGGTTGGAGATCTTCAATATCAGAGGGGCAGAAGGCACAGTGAGACTGGTCAAGCCCTCAGTTTTTCAATAATCTTTGGAGATGCTTCGTTGATTTTTAGCCCTTTTCCACTGCCATAATCCTTGCAGTTGCTTACATCTGTTTTTATTATGCCTCTCCAGGTAAGTGTGCTGTGCAGTATCTTCTGACCCCGCTACTCCTCTCTCTGTCTTTCCACCCATGCCAAACTCTCTGGGCCTCTCAGGTAGTCCCTGTCCAGCCTGTGGATGCGGTAGCATTTCAGCCTTGGTGGAGGAGAGCCCTTTTGTTTGGAATGCAATAGCATTTGGGAACCAACGCAAAGTAGCGCGTGTGCACCACACTCTTTGCAGCATTTGGAAGGTGGGTGGCCAGAAGGAGAGCGCACAGGCACGGAGCATGGTTGTAGTAGGGACTACCATTAGCCCCCATTTTTCTTGCACTTCTTCACTGCCTTTTCTCCACCCCTGGAACACACCTGTCAAGTAACTGCACAGCCGTGCAACTCATTGTCCCATAGATCACTTAATGCCAGGTCCCTATCCAGGACACTGCCTTTGTTTCTGCTGTCCCTCAGGCTTGCCAGTCCTAACTCAGTCACTGAGTGATTCTATGGGCCTTGGTGCCCTAACCTTGTTCCTACAAATATCTTGTTTGCTGGTCCCATTTCTCAAAGGTAAGAGCTAAGAAGGTGGACCCTGGTCAGGGGCTGCAAGCCTGGACTGAAGACAGCAGCCCTGCCACTGTGTCTATGCCCACCTTCTTGCCTTAGGGTTAGATTCTTTCCCATCATGGGATGTTCACCGAACCTGGGCTGTAGGCAGTGCTAGGATCTAGTGGCAGCTTCCTTTCTAAACAGCGCTGATACTGGAATTCATATAATGGGCTTCTCCTTCAAGTTGCTTCCCCCATGTTTGGGGTTTTTATTTGAGCCCCATTTCTGAGTACCTGAGGATCCTGGTGTGCATCTGCAAGCAACGTATGAGTGCTGCTGTCTCACACCTACTGTGATCCAAAAGATGTCCAAAGTGTCTTCGTTGAAGCTGATTACCCACACTTCTGCATTTTCTCACCCGTGTCATTCAGATTGGGACAAAATACAATGGAAGAAAGTACTGAGCTCTTTTGTCCTGAGCTAGCTTCTTTATACACAGCAGATATGATTGGCTCTGGATGATAGGCCCTTGTTAATTGGCACAACCAAAGATTTAGTCCCAGCCCCATATATCCATCATTATCTGAGACCTCGCCTTCAGGTATAAATTCATTTGACCCATGACCTTGCATGTACGTGCTCATGATTGGTACTCAGCGAAGACTGAATGCTATTAATGAAGTCAGTCCTGTATTTCTAACTGTATGCTTTCCTTAGATAGCAACCACAATGATTTTGCATAGCAACTGTTCAATGGAATGTCTCCAGCAGAGTTCTATTTAATGTCCAAAGTGAAAATCACATTATTATGTGCACTGGTTTTTATTGGGTAATTTCTTTTTCATCTTTTTGAGGCAGGGTCTCGCTATGCAGTTCAGGTTGGCCATGAGCTCACTTTGTAGCCCAGGCTGGTCTCGAACTTGCAACGATCCTCCTGCCTCAGCCTCCCGAGTGCTGGGATTACAGGCATGTGCCACCATACCGAGCTTCTGGGTAATTTCTTAAGAGTTTTAAAATACAATCTTTTTTTTTTTTGGTTTTTTGGTTTTTTGGTTTTTCTCTGGTACCGGGAACCGAACTCACGACCTTGCGCTTGCCAGGCAGGCGTTTTGCCGCTGAGCTAAATCCCCAGTCCCTAAAATACAATCTTAATGAGTTCATCTGGTTATTTTCTCATAGTTCATATTTTCCTCAACCCTCACTTCTCAGAGCATTCTGTATTATGGCTGAGTACTAGCAAGACCCACCAAAAGCTAAGTAACTACTTTTATCATATGTCATAAAAATTAGGCCCAAGTTCAGTGCATTCATGCTGGAGGGCAATGAGGAGTCCTATGCTATCATCTTGATATCACTATCAGTAAACTACAGGGCACCACAAGGAACAGAAGAAGAGCGAAAAGATGGGAGTCAGACACCATTGTTTACCTTCACATTCAAGCATGGACACTGGATTGTGGCAATCACAAACCAATGATAGTGCTGCTGATATGTGACAATAGCAAAATTCTGCCCTGATTTTTTGGAGAGCATGAGCAGTCAGCAGTAGTCATGGTAATTGCGAGGAGCCAGTGTGGGTTCACTAAGAACAAATCTGGCCACTTCCCCTATGTGTGCATGTTCCTTACTGCGTCAGAAAAATGGTATGGATTTCAGCAAGGCTTCTGACAGAGATTCCTGCAGTTTATTTTTAACAAGAAATGTTGGCAGAGTGATGGTCCAGTTTGGTAAATGTTTAGCTAATTGGTCGTTAGACCTGAGGAATATGTTCTTAACAAACACATGTCAGACTGGAGAGAGGCACTTGCTTGCTGTGTACTCGACACTTACTTCCTAAAGTTTTTACCAGTGACTTATCTGAAGACAGAGAAGCCATACTTCTAATATTCAGTGATGGAGTAAAGGAAGGTAGAATTAGCCAAAATAACACAGTTGGGATCCAAAAATATCTCAGCAGACCGCAGTGACAGAAGAAAACTACCAAGGTGAAATTGTAGAGAGATATATGTAAAGTATTACCTTCTAGATTCACAAGCACAAGCACATAAGCATGATACAGGAAACCCAAATTAGCAAACATATTTATTTTTAGTTATGATGGAAACAGCAATGAGGAACTATAAAATGTTCACTAACCCAAAACAGTATTCCTCAAATGTAGTGATCACCTAACAGCCTTTTACGTGTGGGCATTATTGGCAGAGAAGATGAGAGAGAGGGAGAGGGAGAGGGAGAGAGAGACATGGAAGTAAAGGACTAGAAATGGGCTCATCATCCTGATTAAAGGTTAAAAAGGACTGTTTCAGGATTATAAGGTTCACTGCTCTACATGAATTTCTATTAAGTCAATAAAGCATTATTGGTGTGTGACTTAGAGTCACAGTGAGAAATTTGAGGCTACAGCACTAAGATGTCTAGTTTTGGGCAAAGAAAAGTGGCCTTAGGGTCAAACAGATCTATTTTTAATTCGCAGATATTCTACTTTGGAGTTGTTTGGCTTTAAAGCAAATTATTTAGCTTTCTTTGCACAAGTTTCCTAATAGCTGTGAAATAGGTACACTATCATGTATCTGGAATAGTTAGGATAAGTTTTGAATATGCTGTGTAGTAAGTAAACACTCAAAATTACAGCTAGTCTTTTTCTTCATATTAATACTGTGTAAAGAGTTATCATAAGGGACAGTCAAGAGTGACCTTTTAAGTGGTTTGAGTCTTGTGCCTCAGTTTGTCAGTTTTTGGAATGGAGAGACGACAACGTTTTTAGTGTGGAATGTTTAACTGATTTAAAAATTCTAAATATAATTTAAATTCTAAAGATTCTTGGAAAAATATATCTAGCCAAGCTTCAACAGATTTTTGAACTATTTAAAGTTAAGTTTGGCACAAAATGACTGAATAAAAAATGAAGTTGGTAAATTAAATATATATATGAACATATTTAAATTGAGTTCTTTAAATTTTCCCAAGTTTGAACTCTACCCTAAAGCAGATGCTCTGCCCTTTGAGTACAGCTTAGAGATCTTAGCCCATGGTCCAAAAGTCCCATTTTAATCTTCAGCCCCACCAGGACCTTTCACAGAAGGCTAGGATCAAGTGGACAGACTTGAGTGCTATAAAGTTCAAGGCAACTTCATCTGCATTTCTTTTTGCATTTTGCTCTCTGGTTGAAGATGCGGAGAGGTTCCTATATTTAAAATGTGGCTGACATGATTATCTTTATTGGCAGATGTCTTCCAGGAGGCATTTAGAATGATTTTGAGCAGCATAGAATGTGTTCGTGAGTGTGTGTATATTTCACATGCCGACAGAGCAGAAAGAATTCACAGGGCTTGGGGCTACTGAGCTTTCTTGAGACACCTTCACTCTCAGCTGTTGGGGTGATGTCACAGATGCCAGGAACGCTGCTTAAGGAACAAATTCCTGAAGCTCTATTTTGTATTGCAGAGCCTCAGGCAGATGAGACCCATTCCACAAGCTCTGCCTTCAAAGAACTGTGGATTTTGTTAGTCACAAGGGGACCAGTGACCACTTGTTGTCAGGCAAAAAGAAAGCTGCCCCCTGCTGCCTGAGCTTTTGTCCCTGCCTGGGATACCATGGAAAATGGGGAAGGAATCCAGACTCATTAATGAGCTAATACAAAAGATTAAGCCAAGTTAGAGGGAGTTCGTTATAGCTGCATATGGATTCTTGAAGGCAGTGGAGGGCTGAAAGATGCACAGACCAGAATCCAGTGGTGCTGTTGCTTTGTTTGCCAGACACAAATATAGGATAAGGGTATCTCTGTGGGGGAGCAATTCTCTTATTGCTGATTTCTTTTTTTAGTTATGTCATTGCTTGAGCTGTTGTGTGGCAAATTGATTGATCAATAATTGCTACCTGATAACCCACAGTACAAATTATTGCTAAAGCTACAGGTTTCATTGTGAGATGTTAAGATTGAGCTCAGAGCTGAGTGTCTACTCAGTTGAATGGCCTTTGTTCTGGTCCGTTATTCTTCGATATCACTTAAACTCTAATTACTTCTATGACTTGTTCACAAAATGAAATGCATAAGACATTTCAAAAAATAAAGCTCAATTTTTATACACCCTCACCATTTAGTTAGGAGTTTTATTTTGTAGTACTGGGGATTTAACCCAAGGCCTTCATACTGATCTGCATCCCTAAACCTGTTTGTCACATTTATTTTTGAGAGCCTTAATACGTCACTAAGTTGTCCAGACTAGGTTTGAACTTGTGACCCTCCTGCCTCCTTCTCCCAGAGTGCTGGGATTATAGGTATGTGCCACCATGCCCGGGTAGGAATTAGTTTATTTATTCCCATGTTCTGTGCAGTGCTTTAGATGGGATATACAGAATTGATAAGGATATACAGAAACACTTCCACTTACACACTTGTCATCACATATGCATATATCCTCTCTGACTGGATTTATTAATCTAATGTTGAATAGCTCTATTGCCAAGCTCAGAGAGTAGTGGCTGTGCACAAGGGTGCAGAAATAACTTGACCACTGTCCCTGCTTTCAAGATAAGTGGTAAGAACATGCCTATGTAACTATAATCCAAAGTCTAATGTAGGTGTCATAGGAGAAATAAAGCAGTGACTATGCTAGCCTAAAGAAGGCAAGGAAGAGTTCCTCCTGAAGGAATTAGACAAGACTTCAGAATAGGTCATCTTTCAACCAGGCTTTGAAAGATGAGGAGAATTTTGACAGAGATTAGAAGGAAGGCCCTTGCTGGCAGAGGAATGTGGTATGAGCAGCAGCTCAAAGGCAGGCAAATGTATTCCTAGCTTTATGCAGCTAGAAGACCGAGGCCACAGACCAGAGTGGAAGAGGACATGGGGAGTGGAACGTGAGGCTGGAGAGGTGGTACAGACTTTCAGAGGGCCGCGAGTAGCACCGTAAGGAATCTAAGCTTTACTCTGTCAGCAGTGGAGAGCTCAGGAAGGGGCTGGAGCATGGCAATGATATGGTCAGAGCAGTATTTTATGAGGATAACTGCCGGCAGCGTGAACGGTGTTTTAGAGACCAGAAATTGGAGGCAAGGAGTCCGGCTAAGCCTGACAGGGTTTAACAAGACAAGGAAATGAAGCCTGTTATTAAAATTCATTAACCTTCCTTTCCACCGACTGATGAAACAGTTTAGCGAATAAGAATTGCTTTGTCTCTAAAGTTGGGCCAATCATCTTTTGGCCATTAGCCAGGGCAGAGGAGGGACTCATAGCAGGCAAGAGTTTGGGCCTCAAGAGAAGAAGGTAGTACAGTGTGACTCTCTCAGAGCAAACCAGTAGCTTCTCCAGGTCCCACAGTAGAAAATGAAAGGAAAAATTCTAGTACCTGCAGAGATTTGTCCCTCACTGAACCTGAAGCAAAAGTTCTCACAATGAGGTATTTAGATTCCCTGATGAATGTGTTAACTATTACTCTTTAATCAATTTGTTACACACTTTTTTTTAGCCAGGATTCCAATTAAAAGTGGCTCCTTGGCTGTTGAATGCTGAGTGCCATCCATTCACTGAAGTCTCAAAAATTACCGAAACTGTGAGAAAGATTGAGAGAGATTATAGTGTTTTTCTTCAGCTGCCACCGTGGGTGCTTAGATGTGCTAGAGAGACTACTGTGTTTCGTGACAGCCTTACAAAGAGGAGTGGGGGAACCAGAGAGGAGTAGTGACTGTTCGCCATCTCCATACCTTCTTACAACACATTTCCCTATTTGTTATTAATGCCCATGTTTTTCTAATTGTGGCAGCTACTTGTAGTTTGTGCTGTTTTCCTGCAACAGTCTGTAGGAACTTTATACACTTTATGATAGGACCCCATTTGTTAGTTCTATCTGAGCACGTTCTGACAATGAACTGACCCGATCTTTCACCACAGTGCCCTGGCTGGCACTGGCTTCTGCTTCTTCCCTCCTTTGTACACTTGTGCCCTTTTAGCTGGTCAGAGCAGGTGCTGGGAAGGCCAGCAAACTATTTCAGTTAGACAGCATAGGAGCTAGTTTACAGCCTATGACTTCTGCTCTTAGAATAGTGGCTGGCACATAGGAAGTAACCAAATGTATTGACTGCATGATCGAATGAAAGACTGTGTTCTGATTTCCCCCTTGCTTAGGACACAATATCGATAGCTGTTGTCCTAAGCCTGCCCCAGTATATTTGAAAAGTGGACAGCTGGTTTTCTGCTTTCATAAGTACACAAATGGAGGGGAATTGTTCCCATAATCCCACCCACACTTGATTTAGTATAATGAAGTCTGGGAGTTTTGAGTTAATGATATTTAGGTGGTGTTTTGGACTTAGAGTAACATTGATGTGAGTTGAGTCTTTCAGGCCTACTGGGATGGGATGAAAGTATTGTCCACATGGGACAGATATAAATGTGGAAGAGAAAATGTAGTGTATG